CATCCACTCCTCATTTTCCACTTCTTGCCTTTTAATCTACCCTCCAGTCTCTGTATAGTTCAAGAACGAAGTGAAAACGAGGTTCTGAGCCTGCACACTCATACCTATTGGTCTCCCGTTTTCTTTCAGTACTTCTGTGCACTTGAACTTAGGTAATATGACCCCCTAGGGCAGAAACAGAAAAATCATCACACTTTTCTAAGATATGCACTAAAATAGCAATCAGTTTGGGACAATGGCTTGCTAAAGCCTATTGAGAGACACTGAGTCCAAATTTAGCTGTTTCAAATCCAAGTCTCCTGCTCTTCTATCACCAGAGGTGAGTACGGGGCAATATGCAGAATTTTTTTTCTCGTCTTTCTTTGAAGCAGTCATATATGCCCAGTGCTTTCCTTCTGGCCATCTTTTCAGAGGATAGACTGTAACTCCCTGGAGTTCCCAAGAATATAAGTATAATTAGGATCTTTTTATACAAAAGGACTTCCTTCTCTGAAAATGTTGTGCTTTGACTAACATTAAATTGCGTTACCAAAGGCTGGGACCTGGGCTCAGTGGTAGAGCATCTAATTAACATGTTTAAGGTCCTGGTTGAGTTCACAGTACCAAAAAAGAAAAATTATCTTTACCAAGACTAAAAGGGAAAAAAAAATCTTTTAGGAAAACGAAATCAAGAACTCTGAAGACCCTGAGAGAACACAGCTTCCCCCAGAACAGGGTCGGTTTATGGAACCTTCAGCCACCAGCGAAGAACAAACTGCGGTCTGTCCCCAGACTCCTCAGGGGCCTCCACCAGAACCATCCCATAGTCCTCCAATCAAGGTACCTCTTCCTGCTCCTAATACTTGTCCCTCCCCACACCATATTTCTGGGGTCATTATAATCATGAAAGAGCTTCTCCTAATCCCTTACTGTTCCCAATTTCTTCCTACAATTAAATCACAAATAAAATTTATCAAATGCATATATTAAGATCCCCATGCTATTTACAAGGCATACATTGATGAAACAATTCCTGATCTCCACAGCTCATGTGTTCGTTCAGGAGAGATGGGTATGGGGAGTTTATCATCTACTAGATGATAAACTCACATTATAGTTAGCTGGGCCAGAGGGAAGAAAAGACAAACACCTATCTCATCCACTCCATCACAATCTGCTTTTTGTTTTGTCCTTTGTTCCTGCCTTGATGTGATTCCTGTGGTTACCAGCGACTCGACATTGAGAAGTCTGTATCTTTGGTGAATGAGCAAGAAAAAATTGCTTCAAATCTTCAGGGCGGGCACGTAAGAGCACAAGTTGAGTCACGCTTTCCTACTATACTTTCTAACTCAAGACCAAGCTGCATTTTGTCTTAGGTCACAGCCTTACCAACAAGCCACACTCTGATATTGAAGACARAGTCCCTCTAGAAAGAGACTTTCAATTTTGACCTAGTTTTCTGCTGTATTTTTTCATTGTATTCATCCATTGTTATGAGGAATTGAACTTGGGGTCACTTAACCACATCCCCAGATCTCTTTATTTTCCATTTGAGACAGGACAGGGTCTTGCTAAGTTGCTTCAGGCCTCGTTAGGTTGCTGAGGCKATCTTTGAACTTGTGATCCTCCTTTCTCAGCCTCCCAAGTTGCTGGTATTACAGGCGTGCACCACCATGCCCAACCTCTGTTGCTATTATTGCTATTAGTTCCAAGAACCCATGTTTCCCCAAATCTCTCCTGAAAAGTCATAGAAATAAWAAAAAAAAAAAACAGAGGCTGTTTGTTTTGTTTTCAGGAGTCTGCAAAACTGGTGTCAGGAACAAATTTGTGCATTCCCTTAATGGAAAGTTTTAGTTAATAAACCAAATTCATAACCACAGCTGACATTGCTCTGAAATTTCCTGCTTTATAGTCCAGGAGGGTTGTTTACCCAAACATACCCTAAAACTGTGCTTGGTCAAGTTGTTTTAAGTCATTTGGCAACAGATGTAGAACCCAGGTTTATGTACATTATCTCATTTATTCTTTATAATACCATATGAAAATGGTATTATTGTTAGTCTCATTGCACACTTGAGAAAATGGAGATGCATAAAATCACACAGGTCACACGGGAGTCCATATTAGTGCCAGGATTTAAACGCAGCCATCTTTGAACTTTAAAACTTGAATGTTGAATGATCATAGATGGAATGCAGGGTAAGCAGATGTTAAAATGTCTCCAATTTATGTTTGAACACTTTTGAATAGACCTTGTTGTGTTTGGGTTTGTTACTGTTGCACACGTGTCAGAAGCTGTTCTAAGGAGGGTTACTCCAGTTGAGGGCTCTCTAAGCATTTCTCTCACACCCATCAACAAGTGGTGGGGCTGTCTCAGTGGAAAAGCGTAGCATCGGTGAGGCACGGGGTTAGATCCTCAGCACCACATAAATATTAACAAATAAAATAAAGGCACTCTGTCCATCTATAATTACAATTTTTTTTWAAAGTCAGATTACTGAATGGTGTCAAAACTGGTCAGTACTGTGTTGTGCTGACCCAATTATGATAATGTTTAATGGACTTCCATTAGTGTAATTGAAGGTTGCAATACCATAAGATTTTAGAGAGATTTCCCATTGTTACTTGAAATTGTCTAACCATGTAGCTAAAGAAAATGCTTTGGGTAGTAGGTTAAATTGCTGTGAATGCAACTAGGAACCYAGAAAGATTCTGGCTTCCTGATCCACACTATAGAGGTGGCAGGATCCTTCCTGAGGAACTGTGAATTTGAGGGACCTGTCCTGTTGCAGTCATGATCAGATACTTGAAAGGATGGAGACTTTCATTTCCTAGATGCCAAAGAGCACAGGACAGGGACTGGTGCCTGTAACTGAAAGACTTAGTTAACAAAGGCCCATTAGCCTGTTTTGCACCCCTTCAACAACAACAACAACAACAACAACAACAAAAACTCTAAGAGTTGTATCTAACTGAATGGTTTAGACCAGTTATATAGGATCTGTAGAACCTGTATTACATCCTAGACCAGTGAAATGCCAATCCTTTGAGGTTTTTACATTTAAAAGGAGGATTGTGGTAGGAGGAGGCATGGTGTTGGAGGTGCTTGAATGTGTGCTATTATTCCTCCTGTGACCCAGGAGAAAAATATGCATGGTATAGGTTCTATGTAAAATAGAAAAAAAAATGAGAATAAAAGATGCATTTTTATCTGATTTTTTTTAAAAAAAAACATTAAACAAAAAAAAAAAAGTAAAGAAATTTATTTTCCTGCAGGAAATGGACAACACAAACACCCAAACACATGATAACATGAAGGTACAGGAATCTCAGGGACAGCGTCAACTTCCAGAACTGTCATCATTTGCCACACAAACAACTGCGAGTATGTTCCAGACTTTTAAGATGGCTCCCAGAGCACCATCCTGCAGTTTCCAGACTCTTCAGGTGACTCTAACAGAACCATCCACCAGAATCCAGACTCTGCAGGTGGGTGCAACCATACTGTCTACCAGTCTGCAGACTCCTCTGATGACTCAAACCCCATTCAGCAGTTGCTTCCTCACAGTAAAATTTCCTGTTCCCGCAAAGATAAGGACAGGGATTAACAGAAACTTGGAAGAACAGAAACTTCTAACCCACTTATTTAGTTCAGTTGTTATTTTTATTAGGTATTTTTTTGAGATCCTAACTTTGAATTCTAATTCAGATAATGCCCCACTCCATCAGGATAATCTATGACTATTCGTGAGTACCTAAATCTTCCCTGTTCCATAACCAGTAAAACAAGACATTAGTTTACTTCATTTTATTTTTGTGTTTTGGTTTGCATTTTTCATTTTTCCTCCCTGCAACATGTAAATGGTATCCTTGGGTAAAATAGTGTGTAGAAATACAGAGCCAATGGGAATCTATTGATATTGCTTTTCTTTCATTATTTTTTGTTAACACCAATGACATCATCTTAGAAAATTTATGAAAAAAAATAGATGTATGGACAAATATAATTAAAATTTAACTGTCTGGAATTTTTTCTCTATCACATGCCAAGCTTAAGTGTATCGTCTTCTCTATCTTTTGTTATGTGTATATAAGAAATATCATTTTCTCCCAAGTTGGGCCACATTGCATGTATTCTTATATAACCCAGACTTTCAAAATTCTTTTAGCATATTTTGAAGTGCTTGGCTTCAATCAGCCAATATAGACTTAAATAACTTTATTGTATGTAAAAAATTACATGATTATTCTATGCATTATAAAAATAATTTCACATTATCTGGCTTTATGTTACTTTTGGTATTCCCTATACCTGCAATAAATGGAAGATATCACCTGCAGAGAATGATATAATTTATTTCTCAAGTTCTGTACACTTTCTGTCATATGTTAGCATCACCATCATGAGGTGCTGGGAATGAATTTCCTGATGTAGGAAAGTACCATATTGATGAGAAGGCAGAGTGAAACCCCATCCCTCGCAGGTCRTATTCTGTAGAACTTTCTCCGTCAGGTCTCAGTGAGCACTGCTGATCTGTGGAGAACATCCATCTGCTGAGTCCTRGAACTCCCATGGTCTCCTCCATACTTCTTCTTCCAGATCAGTAGATTCCCTGTGATTCAAAGTGCTCTGCTGAAATTCAGAAAGAGTGCAGGGCACTGTGGAGAAATGTGATCAGGGTTGAGTTCCTTCATGACTAATTTCCAATGCCATGATTCCCCTCAATGCCTGGTAGCATTCAGCCTGGACCTGTTCAGACTAGGAAAGTCCTGGGGGGTTCTTTCAATGTCTGCCTTATGAACYCTTTTGCAATACATCACTGATTTCTTTTAAAAAGCTTTGTGATTTGAGTCTTTAAAAAGTCCTATTAAGATTAGTATCAGTTGAAATTACTACCTAAATCTTTTCTTTTTTTTTTCACTACATAAATTATACTGCGTCTGCCATTATTGTCTAAATTTTCCCCAACTCTGCCCAATTAATGTTTCCTTGAGGATAACATCGGGAATCTTCTTTACATTCCTTGAGAATCGACCCTGAACCTGAGAGGGGTCTCACTAGACAGTGACTCTGGATTCCCTGTCATAACTGTGCTTGTGTTTCTGCTGTGTGCTTTCTAAGTAGAATCCAGGACTGACAACTGTACCTACGGAAGCTTCCGAAGAACATGGTCACCAGAAGGGCCCCAAAGAAGTAGTGGTGTTGAAAGTAACCGAACCATTTATTTATGAGTTCAAAGAAGGCGGGAAGAAGATGTTTCATGCTACAGTGGCCACCSAGAGCGAATTCTTCCGAGTGAAAGTTTTCGACATCAACTTGAAGGACAAATTCATCCCAAAGACAGTTATTGCCATATCTGATTATATTGGCCAAGACGGGTTCCTGGAGATATACAGTGCTTCAAGCGTGTCTCACGTGAGCGCAGACAGAAAGATGGAGATCTCAAATAGACTGATTAAAAATGCTAATGCAACTCCTAAAATCGAGTATCTTTGCTCGCAATGTACAATGAAATTCGTGAATGGGGTGTACAMGGTGTATAAGGTAAGCCATAGTATTATTTCATAAAATTTCTTCAGCAAACCTAGATTTTTAAAAGCCTTCACTTGCTAACTGGAGATGGGTCAGTTGACTGAGTACAGGAAATCCAGGCCTGACCGACTCACTTCCCACTTTAGAGTACGGCATAGTCGATCTCAGACCTTTTAATCTTTTCAGGATCTCACCAGGAAAGTTCTTCAGAAAGAGAATCACCAAGAATCTTTGGCATTCTAACAGTTATTCTGATACTTTCATAGCCACCCTGGTCTACAGCAGTATACAGTTCCTCTCAACCCATGTATCYTTAGGACTTTGCTTGAGTTTTCCCCATCTGTATCAATGACAACTTAATTGTAAAGGAAGAGTTAGCCTCCCAAATCTGGATCTGGTTATGGTGACCAAAATAAGGAGCCTAAATAGAGGGCTCTGCCCCAGGATGTGGTGACATCTAACAGTGATCTGATCAGCTGKACTGTAGGCGCTCACTCTTTCCCATTCATTACTCTTCATTACTCTTTATTAAGAAATTGTGACACATTTCGTCTGCATTAAATCATAAGAGAAACAGAAGCTGCAGACAAGAAACATGCAATTTAATCTCTCCATTTACAAKGGACAATGAAATGCGAAGAAGCTTGGTGAATATTTAGACTCCTCAGTCTTCCTAGGCAGCCCCAACATACCACATAAATAGTACCCTTGGCCGAGTTAACTGCTAATGTTGGAAGTGCGTCAATCTGCTATGTATGTCTTTGAGGATGGTCTTTTTTATTTTTTCTTTTTGATGGTGGGGAGTGAAACCAGGGTTACTCCACCACTGAGATACCTTCATAGTCCTATCTATCTATCTATCTATCTATCTATCTATCTATCTATCTATCYATCCATCCATCCATCCATCCATCCATCTATCCAGGGTCTCACCAAGTTGACAAGGCTGGCCTTGAACTTCTGATCCTCTGACCTCAGCCTCCAGAGCATCTGGGATCATAGGCCTGCACCACACCCAGATGAGTGTGGATTTTTCTTTTTCCTGTGCTGTTTTCTGTACACTTTCTTTAAACAACTGTACATGTAAAAGTGGCTGTAGAATTCATTAATATAGTAAAATACAAACCAAAGACAGTGGGACTAAATCCTTTGGATTTAAAATTTGGCACAGAGCAAATCAATGGAGAGGATAGAAAAAGAAATTGTATATTGAAATAACATGCAGCACTTAATGAGGACTTCTCATAGTCTCTCAGGCTCCTGGTGAGCCCCAAATGGCTTTTCTTCTTCTCGTTTCATGTGGAAGTAACAAAGAAACCCACCAAGGTAATCAGATTTCTCTCTTTTTGAGCTCCTTAGGAAATCCCAACTCTGCCAATTAACTGCTGCTAACTCTTCAATTAATGCAGATATGTAAAAATTAGGAAGATAATAAAGTCTCCTAGAAAAATCTAACACATKAAGACACTAAATAAGGAAATCTTGAGAGAAGTTTGATAGAAAATATCTGGACCTGTGGTTCAGATCTATTTACTTTGTCACAGATGAATATTTTCATCTATACCCTTTATTTTTCATAGATCTAAGAGTTCCTGATACATTTCTCAGAAAATTGAGTGTTAGTTATCTTTTTCAGAAAGACATGAGGGAAGATTGCACTTATTATGGAATACGAGATGACACAGGGAACATGGAAGTGGTGGTGTATGGATGGATGACCTATGTCAACTGTGAGGAAGGAGATAAAATTAATCTCTTCTGTTTTGAATTGGCTTTCAATGAAGATAAGTGGCAGCTTAGATCTGTAAGGCACAGCTATATCAAGGTGGGTGTTCTATGGGAATGTGATTCTTCCAAATGGAAACTATTTWWAAAAAATTTTATTTTATTTTTTTWAAATTATGTGAATGTATTTTGACATATCATATGCACATGGAGTAYAACTTCTCATTWTCTACATGATAAGAGTTACACTGGTCGTGTGTTCATATATGAATATAGGAAAKCTATGTCCWTTTCATTCTACTGACTTTCCCATTTCTCCTTGGAGTGGAACCACTGTTTGACCCAGTTATCCCAATCCTCAGCATATACCYAAAGGGATGTAAACTCAGTATACTATAGTGACACAGTCACATCAATATTATGGCAACTAGTTTCTTTATACTATACTCTAGGAAAACAAAATAGCTGGAGTTAACACAGATTTCAACAGATGGAAACAAAAGTAAGTTCTGCCCATTAGTGCATATAAACTTTTTTTCACCWTTTTTTTAAAAAAAGAAGGATATTTCCAATCAGAGTGAAGAAAGTAAATTCAGAGAGACTTTAAAAATTTATTACATCCTAAGCTAAATAATGAAGATATACTGAATTGATCAAAGCAAGAAATAATTTAATAAGAAATTTGGGTTCAATTAAGACAGATATGTTTTAAATTCTGGCTCTGTAATTTTCTAAATGACTGAAGATTTAAAACGCAAGGCACTTCTCTGTCACCATCTATAAAGTGGGGAAATATTTTCTAACATAACAGGTCACCAACAAAACCCCTAAGAGATCTAGGTTACCARTGTTGTCCTGGGCAAATCGGAACACAAGTACTTCCCTTTAGAGAAATGGTAGATGACAATGTCTGTGCTCTTTGTCACACTAATGCACACATTCATGTGCAAGTCATGGAACACTGCAAAAGGCTGAGGCTGGACAGCAAAGAAATAAAATAAAAAGGCTGATCTGTTCAAGCCACTGATATGTGCAAACGACCTGTTGAAGCACACCTGCTGAGATCTCTCTGATCCTCAGGACCATCAGTCAAATATTCCTCCCACCAGTTGCACTAGGAAAGCCTTTTGTAACTTCCTCCCTCCCTTCTGCCCAATGAAAACCTCCACTCAGCTTTGCCATGGGGTCCACCAGCTCTTGTCTCTTGTGCTGTTTCCTGATACCACCTGTGTTCATGCTGGATAAAGTGACTAGCTGATTTTCTAGTCCTAAGCAAGTGGCAAAAGGTGACTCCAACCACAGGAATGGTTATAGGAGATAAGTAGGAGTGAGAAAAGAGATGAGGTTCGTGGGGAGGAGACCCTGTGGGTGAAGAGAGAAATGTGTGGCCAGCTGCATCTCAACTTCTTACTTTCTTCTTCAAGGTAATCAAGGCCAGGAGATTCAGCAGAGGACAACTCTATTGTAATTCAAATATGAACACTTCACAAGAATCCTCCTAAAAGCCAGGATGCCATTGATAACAGTGCTCATGGAGATACGAACCAAGTACAGAAAAAAAGATACATATTACAATATCATAATATGAAACCCAGCTTTTGTGCTGATGATATAGTTTAGTGGTACAGTGGTTTCTTAGCAAACATGAGGCCCTGGGTTCAATCCCCAGCACCACACAAATAAATGAGTAATAAATGAATAAAAACAAAAATAGCACTTAATTTTAGGAAATAGGAATTTAAGAAATCAATTAAAAGTCTTTCTACTTTCTACTTTTTTGTGTGTTCTAAATTCTATATTTTGCCACCTATAGCTTCTATAATTGTAACTATAATTAATAATTTTTTTTCGATCAATGCTAGGTCTTAGTCACCATTGAATAGGCTATGACCTCCTCAAAAAGAAAAAAAWGAATGTTTGGCAATGAAATTCACCCTGGGCTATAATTGCAGACCCCTTTATACTGGGAGGGTTTGCTTTAGCACAGAAGAGGGGATATCTTTGAAAATCTGTTTCCTAGAGAGGCCACAACTGGGGACTATGTGGAGGTGTCGTCTGTTGATTAGCATGAACATACTAGAATGTTAAAAGAATTTTTGCCCCTCCCTGATGTACTCCCTGTTTCTGAAATACGTATTTCCATTAATCTACCCAAGTACCAATAGGCCTCCRTGGCTATCCCCCCACAATTCCTCCTCCTTACATTCCCTGTGTGTGAAWCCATCAGGAAGCTGTCCCAGGCACTTCTGCTGCAGGCAATCACTGAAGAGAACTGATTTAGAGTAGAATAGCAGGAAGCAGATATCTGCAAAGAAATTTTACTCTTTTATTTTTATCGATCACATATTGGTACCGGGTATTTTGTGATTGTTTTGTGTCCTTTAATCTTCCTATGAGCCCTAAAAGGTGGATGGATAGTTTTCTCCATTTTACTCTGTGTAGTGTGTGGCAGACAAGCAACAGAGAGGCACACCCACTCTCCTAAGGACACTTGGATGGGAAAGTAGAGAGCGACATGAAGAACCCAGGGAGCAGTTCCAGGGTGGGGGAGGTGTGATGGGGAAGAATCTGGAGCTGAGTTGGAAATTTGGAGAGCATGGGGACATTTACCACAATACGGTGGTTCCAAGACTACAAAGACTATTTGTATTCTATTTGTCTAAGGAAAAGAGGTTTTAAAGTTCTACCATGAGGTTCTGGGGCCCAAGGCCAAAGGAATAATTTTGCATTGCTTTGCCATAGACTGCCTTTGTTTTGATTATTTCTTTTCTTATAGTTGACTCGGATGCTAATTAGACATTTTCTTGCCCATAACTACTCTAATAACACACACACACACACACACACACACACACACATACACACACACACATACACATAATGTTATATACTTATTTACAGTTCTATCACTGCAGATGTGCCTACATGGTAATGTATTACATGGTATGGGTACGTATTCCTCATCAACAGAAACTGAAGTTCAAAGAGATTTAATGAAGTGTCAAATTACTTACTTCGGCACTAATTAGGAACAGAGATCATCCTGGGATGTCACCTGCTAAAACTTCCTCTAAATTCAAACTTGACTTATGGACAATAAGGAAAAAGATTGCTTCATACCCAACTGATATTTGTATTCTGAGTTGTCCTGATACTCTGATACTCCATGAAAACTTCCTACAATTTGCTATTCTTGAGTCTGTAGATGGTGGCCATTAAGAGTAAAGACTGAGTTACAGTACCCAGTGTCCCTGCCCTGCTTTCCCTCATGCTGATTCAATCCCCTTTGAACTTGTAAGAACTGGGTCTCCAACAGAGATGATCAAAAAAATCACATTCTACACAAGAGTTTGCTTCTTTGTTTTGTTTTCACTTAAATAGCTTCATCCTCTAATTCCACCATCCCACTCTAGTTTACCTCCTTTTGCCATACCACATATCAGAGCTCCTCCTTGGAATTAAAATAAACTTAAGAAAAAGCCAAAATCCAGAGCTGCTGCTAGTGCATGAGGGCCAAAGAGGTCAGGTCAGCTCACAGAGATGCTAATCTGCAACCATAGACATCTGACAGATTGGGTGGTTTTAAGGTATCCAAGAAACAGAGAAATGTCATTGTGAAGATCTCTGGAGTATCCCAGAATGACAATGATTGGAAGAGACACACCCAACTGCCTGCCTACGTTTTCTCCACTGTTAAAATAGGGCTAATAACAGAATTAACATCATAGTCATGGCTGGCCTGGATATTAAGTGAAGACATTCTAGATAAAGTACTTAGCAATTAGCTACCATCTATCAAACAATTAAGAAAGCCATTGTAGTTAGTTTGTAACTTGCATTTATTTAGTAATTGTCTTAGAAATCTTTTTGTATCAAAACATGTCAATCTAAATCATACTTCTAAACTATTTTTAATAACAAATTTATCATAATTTATTGAACTGTTGTTGATCCCTCCAGGGATTTTGTACAATTTCAGGGGCTAAAGGCTCAGTGGTACAGTGCTTTCCTACCGCAGGTTAGTCCCTGGATTCCATCCAAAACACACACACCCACACCCACACCCACACACACACACACAATTATTTAATGCCCATTAACCAACAGATTAGATCTATAAGTAGAATTTCTAAATCAAATAATAGTAGAATAAGTGCAAATGTATAAAATGTATCAATTAATACTTCTGAAGACATTGTTTTTAGTAATTACAAATCATTGACACTTACATTTTGATGTGAGCCACTGGTGTGTGTGCATCTTCTGGCTGTACTATAGGAATATTTTAATTCACTGGGAACATGCATTCTTGCTAATATTTTAGTAGTAGAAATCTGTTAATGATTAACAAGCTTGGTGTATTCTGTTGCTGTTTCATTTTACATTGAGCATTAAGGGAATGAATTGYTTTAGTTGTAACTCTGCCAATATGTCTATCTAGAGGCSTGTTGCCATTTCTGTCTTCAGTGAAATTTTTGTCCCCAASMAAGGATAACAGATTGAGTTGGTGTATTCTTGGTTATCAAAAAATACTCATGTAGCTTCAGGATTTTGAATTGGTGAATATTCATGATGTGTGGAAAAGCATAATACACACCACAATCTCAATCACACAAAATGGGACACTTTCMACTAAGCTTCTTGTGACTGGATGACTTTGTTCTTTGCTTGTGTTTTTTTTTCCCCTGTAATGTACAATTTACTTTTAAAAAATAAAAATTATTTTTAAAACCTGAAAAAAAATCATTGACACATTCACAAACTTGGGAATCATTAACCTTATGGATAAGGATTAGTCATTGTTTTAAAAATCCTGATCTAGTCTTTGTGAGTCTTTTGGTTTCATCTTATTTATTATTAAGCAATGGGAACTTATTTCAGAGAAATGTTTATAAAAACAACCAAATGCATATTTAAAAGTCCAAAATTCTATCTTCCAACTTGATGTGTATTTCCTGTTGATTATTATATAAAATGTACACAGTAACACTAACTATAATTAATGGAAATTCCTGTGAGATTTTCTAAAGATACAGAATAGTCCATTCCAACAAAAGCTAAGATCTACTTTAACTTTTCCTCCAAGTTCAAACTCCAGGCAACTTCTGATTTAGAGTTTACTTACATTTATAACTTTTCCAGAATATCTTAAAATGGAATCCAAAAGAACATAAAATTTTGAATCTGGCTTCTTTCACTTACTAAAATACATTTAATATTTATCCCATGGAGTTATATTTGACATTGATTTATTCCTTTTTATTGCTGAATACAGTTAAATAGTGTGAATTGATACAAGTTCATTTATCCATTTCTCAGGTGAGGGTCAATGGTCTCTAAATTTTTTGCATAATTATAAATAAAACTTCCATAAATATTTCCATGCATATTTTTTTCTGAACATACATTATCATTTCATGTATCAAAAAAAACTTAGAGTGAAATTGCTGGGTCCTATTTTAAGTGCATGTTTAAGTTTGTAAGGAATTGTCAAACTATTCTCTAAAGTGACTATAACGTTTTCTATTTCCTCCAACAATATGTGAGAGTTTCAGATCCGTTTCATCCCCCCCTCAGAGCTTAGCAATGTAGATGTCCATTAGCTTCTTAAAAACTCTTTTGTAAAGTGATTGTAACCACTTGTCAACCCACCAGATTTTAGGACAATTCCTGTTCTGCCATATCCTTGTCAGCAGTTGCTGTGATCAATTTAAATTTTAATCATTCTAATAAGTGTACAGTGGCATCTCACTTTAATCTCTTACTTTTAATTTGTATCTCTCTAAAAATGAATTAGATTAAGCATCTTTTTATGTGTCTGCCATTCATGTATCGTGTCTTGCCCATTAAAAAATGTAGTTGGTTTTTCGTCATATTGAATTTTGAGAGGTCTTTATAAATTCTACATGCAAAGTTTTGAGGAACTACATGACTAACAAATATTCAACCTTAATCCATGGTTTGCCTTCCAATGTGTTTAATGATATTTTTGAAGATTAATTCTTCATTTTGATAAAGTTCACATTGTTAAAAATAGCYCTTGTGTAGATTGTGCTTTTGGTGTCAAATATTAAAAAGTCTTTGTTTAAATCAATATCAAACAGAGTTTTGTCTTGTGTTCTGAAAATTTATAGTTTTAGGTTTTTACCTTTAAGCTAATGGTCTATTTTTAGTTAATTTTATATTGAAAGTGAGGTATTGATAATATTCATTATTTTTTAACAGGGATATCAAATTGTTCCAGTACTATTTGGGGGAAAAAATATCCTCTCTCCATGGCTATGTTTTTGTTCTTTTGTAGGAAATTCAACAGATCGTATGAGTGAAGGACTACTTTATCTTCCATTGCTCTATATGCCTGTCATTGCTCCAACATCATAGTCATTTTATTATTTAAATATCCCTTGCAATACTTTTAGTCATTGTCTTAAGATTCACAATATACATCTTTAATTATAAATCCAATCTCAAATAATATTATGTTGTTCATATTTTTGTATAAAGGCCTTTGTAGTAGTATGCTGCTAATTCTTCCTGCTCACATTTTGTGCTATTCTTGCCATATATTGTACTTTTAGATGTTATATAAATGCACCATACATTGCTAGTATTTTTGTTTGAGACCAGGAATTAGCAAATTATAAACCATTGTCCAAGTCTGGCTCATTGCCTGTTTTTGAACAGCCTACAAGCTAATTTTTTTTTTAATTTTAAATGTTTGTAAAAGATCAAAAGGATAATACTGCGTGACATAGAAAATTATATRAATTTCAAACATCGAAGTCTATAAATAAAGTTTTATTGGAAAACAGATATGCTCATTTATTTAAATACTACCTATGGCTTTGTAGTCTGTGCAGACCTAAGCAGCTGTAGCAGAGGCCATATGTCCTGCACAACCTAATAGACATAAAAGGTCAGGCCTTGCTTTTTGAACATCAATCTTCTTTTAGGGCACTTAAAAATAACAAGAATAAGTGAATTCTTACATTCACTACAGTTATGCCATTTGTCATTGAATTTCCATTATGTAGATCCAAGTTTCTATATTACATTCATTTTCTTAAAACTCTTAACATTTGCTTTAATTTTCACTATAAATGATATATTTGTTTCAAAATCTCTTCTATTTGCATGTTTTAATACTTTATGGGGATTATGATTCTTGTTTGACAGAACTTTAAAGATGTTGATCCATAATTTTTTGGCTTACCTATTTGCAGATAATAAGTCTGCTATAATTTCTACATTTGTTTGTGTTTATATGTGACATTTTTACTGACTCCCTTTAAGGTTTTGCTTTAGCTGGATGCAGTGGCACATGCCTACAAATCCCAGGGGCTCAGGAGGATGAGCCATGAGGATCCCAAGTTTGAGGCCAGTCTCAGTAATTTACAGAGGCCCTAAGCAACTTAGAGAGATCCTTCCTGTATCAAAAAATAAAAAGGGATAGAGATATGGCTCAGTGGTTAAGCACCCCTGGGTTCAATCCCTGGTACCAGAAAAAAAAAAAAAGATTTTTACTGTATCTGCCTTTTATGAGTTCAAATATGATATATGCATGATATCTATAACTATATAATGGTTTACTGCTATTTTATGCCATTATTWTTATTACTTATTCTGCTTGATGTTCTCTAAGATTCTTGGGTCTGTGCCAATTTTGGTGTCTATTATATAGTTTTGAATGATATTCAACTTTCATCTCATTTCAAATGCCTCATTTTCTTTCTGTTCTCTTTCCRGGACTCCAAATGCAAGTATCTTAACCTGTGAGATGTTATCCTATGTCATTTGGTTGTCATAATCTGTTTTTTAAATTTTCACTTTTTTATCTTTGTATTCTAATTTGAGTAATTTTTATTGATCTATATTTGGTTCATCAGTTTATTCCTTGGCCACATAAAGTCCACTGATGATCCTGCTGAGGGCATTCTGCATCTCTGTAGCTGTTTTTTTTTTTTTTTCCATTTCTAGCATTTTCATTTCATTCTTTCTCACAGTTTTCATTTTGCTTCTGATATCATCCTTTGGATGATGTTTTCTGCCCATCGATTTTTAAATACTTTGATAGTTTCAGTACATCTCTATTGTATCTGGAATTTCTTTTGCTATGACTTTWCCATGGATGTTTGGTAATTCTAAATGAGAGGCCATGTTTGCAATTGTTGTTGGTTACACCCCACACGAGGAAAATTCTTCTAGAGCTATGCCGTGTCAGTGTCTCAATACCTCCATCAGTATCAGCTTCATGTCTTCCTTTACAACCAAACCTAAGGAAATTTCTCTTTCCATGCCCTTAGTCACTCCCCTAGCAGTTAGCTCTAGTTACCTGTGATCTGATGATTTTACCTGGTGATAAATTGCACGCATTTTCACTAYGAGGGTGAGCAATCTATTGCCTGTTCAGCCTGTCTTTGGCAGGCACTGTGTCTCTGAATCTTAGGGGTAGGATTTTCTCCCTAATTCTAAATGTCCTCCAGACGTTGGAYCTAGAATCTACTTCTTCCTTTCCTCCAGACGAAAAACGTCTTCCATTTCACAAAAAGGCTTCTGTGCTCTAAAGATGGCAGAGTTTGCTTTTCTTCCCCAAGAGATATTTTTTCTCTATGGAGGGATCTAGTCAAGGCTTCATGTCTTTCCCTCAGTGGCTTATCTTTCCCTCCCCCAGGACTGTCCCCAATCTTTCTAAAGACCATCCTATGATACATGWAGTTCCTGCAAGTGAGTACAAATTCTCAAGATTGCAGTTCCCAGGAGTTCCATACTCTAATGCCAGTCCAACATCAACCTTGATCACCCTCAAYTTATTACAAATTTTAGCCAAATTCTTCTATTTGATAGGGCATCTTGAGTCCACCCTCTGCCCGAGGTTGCAAGAATGCTTCTATCTGCTGTCTCCTTGGCAGTATCTTTCGTTAGATTTTTTTTTTTTTAAATTAGATGCTTGCTCTGCAACCTCAACTCTCTTGTGGATTCAGAAAACCTTGTGATGTTTCAGAATATCTGGCCTTATTTTTGTTGTTGTAAAAGTGGGAATAATGCCTTTTCCAAATCTCTACATATTCAGTGGAAGCAGAGTCCTTTTTAGYAATTACGAAATTGTATTTCTCAAATTATCAGTGAAGTTGACAATCTTCATGTCTATGAGCCTTTCATATTTGTTCTTTTGGATTCGATAATTTACGTATTTCGTTTATATATACTTAACTCACATTGACTTATACAATGACATATAGTGAAAAATTCTTATTAATAATTTTATTCCTTCAGCAGATATTTATTGAACAACAGCAATATCCTTGAGTATACATATATATATATATATATATATATATATATATATATATATATACATAGCAGAATCCTATCCCTTCCCCAAACCAAACCAGGACTCTAATTAATGAGAAAATAACTTTTATTACGATGTTATGTTGGTATTGTGGAGTTGTTTATCCAGTGATCATCACATCTTCACTAATTTGATGTGGGAAGGAGCCTGTGAACTGGTGCCCCCAGGTAGCTCACAATCTGGTCGAAGAGTGTACATCAGGGATTCTTCAATTAAATGTTGCTTAGACGAACTGAGTTCAATTGATCCTTTTTGTTTATTTATTTATTTATTTTACTTTTTGGCCTTAACAACCTGGATGGAAAAGAATTAAACAGATTGATAGGCAGCTGATCAGTTACCCCTCTTCTGTTCCCAGTGACTATGTCCTCCTGACATGGACCTTTCTTGTACCATCTCCCTCCCTCCTAATACATTATTCGTTCCTGGACTGCTCTCCTGATGTGCGTCTGCTCTGAGACACACACTTCTACTTAACTAGGGCATGCGTGCAGTATTGTCAAGGCTCCAGCCCAACTCTTACAAAGACAGACAGCAACTAGCCGAGCCACGGAGAAGGGAGCAAAGTGGAGGCAGTAGCACACCTCTGGTAGATGCAGGGATGGTTGGACTGACTCAGAAATCTGTCTTCAAGGTGTTTACGGTCTGTGACTCCTTCTATCTGCATTTGCCAGGATGATCTGTACAACTCTGGGCCAGCTGTCTGCATTGGACTCATGGTGTTATCAAGGAACTCTGTGTGGACCTCTGTGAGAACCAGGGTGTCTCTTCCCATGACTTTTTMATTGTGTCTAAAATGTGCATTTTCTGGGAGGGAGGTTCCTCCATTCTGTGAGATGCAGACACGCTACGTATCATGATCTTCCTGTTCAATACCACCCACTCAGCKGACTTKCCTTAAAGTTGTTCCTACCGTAATRAAGCTGTGAACTCCAGATTTYAGCTGTAACTTTTCTCCACTTTTTGACAGTTCGAAGAAGGTAAGTCTAAGCTTATCTCCTTCCTCGCAGTTTACTTGGTTCTGTTTTTTGAACACCARTACTTCCATGCTCCCCGTGTTGTCRCTGAYGTCAAACAGTACATGATCCCTTTTTTCTGTTTTCTGTAAAAAGAAAACCAGCACCCAGTATGATAAGGTGATTAAGGGATGCCATATTAATCAGAAACCAGACATGCCAGAAGCATTTGGCAGAAAGAAGTGTAAGGGAAAATTTCAGCTTCACTAGCAGTTGGTTTACATCTAACCGATGCTAACAAGTTCAGACACAGGAGGCAGCCTTGACTCAATGGAGCACGTTGCCCCTGAACCGGTTTTTCTAGTCCAAAGCCCTCTTCCTTGGCTGGGGGGGGGCAGGGGAGGATGACTCCCAGAGGAAAAACTAATGAGTGGAAAGTTGAGGCTTCTCCAAGGCCAGTAGCCAGGACAGCAAGGGGAAAGGAAGATCCTGATATTGCAGGGGACTCATTTATAGTAACAAATCCAGGAAAGGCACGAGCCAATGAGGCAGGACTTAGAAAAAGAGTCTAATTAAGAGTAAGAAACCAAGGGCCAGAAATCATCCACAATCAAGTCTAGATCAAAAGGAAATAGGATGTTGATCARCCACCCAAGAGACTGATAGTAGTTGAGGTATAATCTTATGGGCTAAATGAGTATGTAGGAGTGGATGGATGGCCAGATTAAAAGCTCAAAACTGAGAGAAAGAAAGTGCTTTCCTATCTGAGGTCATTTTGGGCTTGAATTTTCCAGGACAGATTCCTCCTGTCRGCTCGTCTGCAGCTCACCCAGGACGGCCGAGGTTGTGCTATGGTCCCTGGGTGAGGGGCTATCGCTTCCCTCCTGTGTTTCTTCAGGTCCTTCCAGAAAACGTGGCCACACAAGGCAAGTTCCCGGAGGCTCAGCACACAATCCTTTATGATTTCTCACTTCTAATACGTCTCTGCACACTCTTCTTTCTATTTTCTTCATTTAGTCAGAATTCCTTAATCCTGCCCTAACTTATGGATCTTCCAGGTCAGTGAATCCAGTTTATTGSATTAATATAACTATCACTTAAAACACCAATGGTACATACAAAGCATGAAAATATCMCAAAGGGTAAACACTATTGTAGCCCTTCTCCAGAGGCAATAAGGATGWAAAGAAGTTGAAACAGGCTTATGACAACCTCTTGAGAATGAAAATATTTGGGGGAGGGGGTTGCCTTTGAGTTTTGGCACATTAACTCTGCAACTCTCTAGAACTTTGGGTTTATTTGTTTAGATTTTTACTAACAGAGAAAAAAATGGAACTGAATAATTTCTAAAGTCCATTTAAAGTTCAGATTAAAGAACACCTTATTCTTACTAATTAATATGTAAAACTATACGTAGGAACTTACCTTCTGTATTRCAAACAGCCCGTTCACTATTGTCCCGAGGGGCTGAGTCTGAAGCTTATTTATCTTTGGTGTTTCCCCAGCTTTCCTGATAATATTCGGTGGTACATTAATCTCTTGATCAGACTTAGCATCAACTATCAGTGAGGCACTATTCACCTCCAGAAAACCACTGTGCCAACAATATTTTGATATGATAATTGTTCTCTTTGGGGMAAATTTATCTTTTAGCTGCATATTAAAAACTTTGACAAGAAAGAATTCCTTCTCCGTSGCCACAGTAGCATGAAACATCTCTTGCTTTCTTCCATCTTGGGTCTCAAACTCGAAGGGCTTCGTTGCTTTCAGCACCAGGACTGTGATGCGGTCTTTCTGCAACCCTTCTTCTCGGACAGATTCCTGCTGGGCCGTCACCTGCTTCTGCTTAGGCTGAAGACCATGGAAGAAAGATGTCAGCCATGAGTAAAGGGGCACTTAGTGTTAAACCTTAGGAAGCCAGCCCGAGAGAGGAGCAACCAAAGGAAGAGATAGAAAGGGGTTAGGAAGAGATTTGAACTCAGAATTATCTGGATAGGAAAGAGAATGCAAAAGAACGATTTCAAGTCCTGTGTTCAAATGGGCCAGCGGAACAAGCTTGGGAGATAGATTCCCTGAATCTGAATCCTCAGCTTTCTCATCTAAAGGGTGTGTAGAGTGCATCAGGTTTATGCAGCATTGCCAAGGCAAAGGGGTAAATCTCTTCTTGTCTTCTTCTGCTGATTGCATTGGGGCATAAGGTGCCCTTGTGCTCTATCCAATATTGTCCTGAATATTCATTTTACTCTGGAATGAAGGTGAGGGAGCTCAGTGATCTGACAAGTCTCCCCAAATTCCTAGGGATAGTAATAATAAAAGTACACATTAAATTAAATGTGAATAAAGAGACAGACCTAGGACAGAGATCTTACAAATAAATTAAAGGCCAATTAAAAAGGAGAATTAAATTTACCTTTATGAATTAACCCCTTGAAATACTGAATGGTACACTACAGTTTACCTTAAAAAATTTATTGTTGTTTTTAATTACAAAAATTTGAAATCATTTAAATGCAAAAAAAAAAAAAAAAAAGAGAGAGAAGACTGATTGGCACACACCGTCTATTTTTGTGTAAGTACACTTCATGATGTTCACACAATAATAAAGTCCACTAATGACAGATATGTCTCTCAGAACATATCCCTGTTATTAAACGGCAAGGACTGAACAGGGTTGTTTATTTTTACTACAGTAAAATCTTAAGCATGTCAGAAAAGTAGTAATACTGGAAAGAATGTGATCTTTGGATAATAGGATCTTGCTGTTTATAAACTATCACATTGCATTTAAAACAAATAAAAATAAATTCCAAAAACAAGGAATTTGATTAAATAAGTATGTATAATCACATCATAGATTACTATGCAAATATTAAAAATGCTTTAGAAGAATAAATGGTAAATGGTTATAATTGATTTAACAAAGGATGAAGTCCGAAACAGAATGTACAATGTTTTTCTTATTGGCAAAATCAACAATTAAATAATACTCACACTCCACAGAAATATTTACCRATATCACATATGTTGTTTTCTAGGTGACATGATCTTAAGTAATTTTATTGTCATGTCTATGGTTTTTGGTTTTTGAAATTAACAGAGATATGAGATTCTTTGTGTCTGTTTTAGAAGCAAATGTTACTTTTAAAWAGCAATATGCTCTCCAAAGCCAAAGGAAAATGTAGGGTGGGGAGGGAAGAACTATGTAAGACCAAGTGCAAATGTGTCTAAATTGGATCTCTGGTGGGATTGGGACCTGGCACATGGGTCCATAAGGGGACCTGACGGACAGTACCCACAGACTCCGTTTGGACCAGTGCAGGAAAACATCAGCTTCCCTGAGGCCCAATACAAAATTTCTTGTCTTTGGTCCAGGTACCTTTAGTGAGGTCTTCCAGACTAAGTAATTTTAATGGTCAGTTTCTGAAATGCACTACTTATACCTTCATATTGTTTCCCTGACAACTTCAGAAGTTTCTAGGCCAAACCCAGAAGAAGTGGCTGCTCTGGGCAAAGAGAATGGAAAACATTCCATCAATTTCTATAGCTCATACATCTGTAAAGTTACATGATTCCTACTTCACAGGAGACAAAACTGCACGTTTGGTAGATATTTGGGGTTTTGTTTTTGTTTTCCTTTGAGCACTTTCTTTGTCTTAAATATGCCAGAAATTGAATTTTAGTTTTTTAATTTTATCAGGCTTTCACGGGTGTATAGTAATTGTTCCTGTGTGTGGGCGTCCTCGGCTCCTAAGTGCTCTGTGGGACGGACTGAAGGTACTGAACTTGAAATTGTCCCCACTCTATTTCTTTTACTTCTACGTGGGCATGAATACTGAAAGCACTCTAAAATATACTTCCTGGAAATGACTGTCTGAGTTTTCTTCTGATGGGATCCAGTCTAACAAGGGGTTAAAATGTCCAGAGCATGTTAGAGATTAGAAACTCCATAAGTATTTTTGAGTCCAGTTTTCTTTTTGTAACCTAGGAACAATTTTCATGTGATAGACTGTCTTTCCTTAATTGCAAGCTGTGAGATAAAGAACAGAGATCCTCAGGTAGGGAAGGACAGGGACAGTGACTAGAGGGTACTCTCAGAAGGATGAAGGCCACTCTGCTCACGCCGTCCTACCTTCCCAGGAGAGACTGCTGGTGCCACCCGGTGCTGGCCAGCATCATTGCCGCTGACTGCGGAGGCCACAGAACCCACTTCAGTTAGACTTTTCCTTTTTGTCAGACTTGCTTCTTTGGTCTTTTTATTTCCCATATACTTATCATCAACTATTAAAAAAAAAATTTTAAAAAAAGGACATATTAACCAGAAGAGRGACAAAGTTGGCTGAGAAATTTAAACAGCATTATCTCTCAGGAACAAAATAAGAAGAAGGACCCTAGCAGGAGGGGTGACCAAGAGCTTCCCRGATCCGGCTGGCCTCACAGAAGTCCGCCTCACAGCCGTCACATACAAGGAGACTTTTGCAGCCACCTGGGAGTGCAGCCAAGGCTCCTTCTGGGACCACAGAACTGAGAAAAGTTCCACTGGAAGGAAAGAGGAATGGTCTCACTGTTCCCATGCCACCCCTCTCCCGAGGCAGCCCAGCACCACTCAGACGGAATTCCCCTGGACCCACGGGTGCTGCAAGGAGAAAAGAGGCATGGGGAGCATTTGGTCCCCAGCATCCTGGGAAGCTCTGCAGGAGGCTCACTTAGGTCTCGAGGAACACTGGAGGCACTGGCAGTGATAGACCACCCGGGAGGCCCACTTAGAAAGAAAGAAGGGGGTGGGTATCACAGGGATCAGCACACRGATCTTGGTGACCCTACGTTCTGGCCAATGGAGGCTCCAAACCAGAGAGAGGTCCCAACAGCATTGTTTTGCAGAAAACATGATCAATAGGTCTGTTGGGTTTTTGTTTTGTTTTTTGTTTCTTGTTTGTGGTACTGAGGGTTGAACCCAGGGGTGCTCTCTCTCTCACTAAACCATATCCCCAGTCCTTTTTATTTTTTTTTAACTTTGAGATGGGGGCTCTCAAAAAATTGCCCAGGGTGGCCTGGAACTTGCGATTGTCCTTCCTCCCCTCCTGGGTGGAGGGGCTTATCAGYGTGTGCCCCGGTGCCCAGCTGGTCTGATGGTTTTCAGTTCTCTAACCAGCTTTCCCACCCAGCCATGGTCTTCCCCACAATACAGGTAAGTGCACGTGTATGCACACCTGTGGAGGGAAGCTGCCTAACCTCAGACCTCAGCATAATGCTTCCCCACGCGAAGACGCAAGCCGACTTCCACAGAAACCTCTGCAGGGGAGCATCTGGCCTTGCCAGACACAAGCAGTTGAGCAGCTGACCCCACCCACCACCCGGCCTGTGTCCCTGCACATCTGCAGAGGAGAACATCTGGCCGCTCCAGTCCTAGTGGTTAAGGAGTGGTGCCACCCAGCTTTGGAGCACAATCTGAACTTGTGCTGGACCCAGGCAAGGAAGCAAGTCTGAGATCTCATATATCTTTGGAGCATGGCTTATGGCTTTCCCAGTTGGAGTGACCCCAAAGCAACCCCAACAACTTTTCCCACTTTCTCAGCTTYCAACCCAGCCTGTGGCTCTGCCCAAATACAGATGCCAAGCAGTGAAACAGCAGAACCGACCACCTAGAAACCAAAAACCAAAAACACGAAAATAATTTTAGGATATTCAGGAATATGYGGAAATTCTACAACATGTTCCTGAATAAACAACAGCACAACCGAACTTCTCATTTACTTGTTATCTCTCTGCTTTATCACCAGATCTAGAAGGATTCTTGGYGCCTACCAGGAATTCAATCAATATTAGAGAAAGGGTGGATGGAWAGACAGGTGGATGGCATGCCAGCTCCTCACAGTGTCACCATCATGCAGCCTTAGGGTCTGGCTTGGATACCCCAGGCCTAGGGTCAGATTATATTTTACTCAGGCAACTTTGGGCTCTGGTTTTAAAATGACCATATATCTATCAAGATGATTCCGTTCAATTATTTAAGGCTCTCTCAGGAAGAAGAGGGCATGAGAAATCACTGGATGTTGTTCCTGACGGAACTTGAGCAGTTCTAGGCTGAAGTCAAAAGGTCACTTTGATTTTATGGGAAAGAAGAATAGTTATCAYGGCTCACCGCAGAATGAGCTGTCTTCTGCTGCAGTAAGTTCTCTGTCGCTACATTTCAAACAGCAGGAAGGACTGGACCCTCTGACAGGGAGATCACAGGGGGACCTCTGCCCCAGAAGTTGAAGTGACCTTCCCACGGTAAGTGAGTTCCATGAAACTGGTTTCAGAGAGGTGTGTAGATGAAAGTCCCCCTTTCAAAGCGGACCAGACCGTAGAGGAGAGAAAAGGGTCAGGAAGGTCGAAGGACTCAACATGTCCTCCTGCCCATCACATCAGCCATCTTTCATCTCATTCATAGGGGACCAAGGAAATGTTTGTCAAAGAACACATCTGCCCACTACACATCTCTTACATTCCTTAATCATCAGGTTCACATCTTCATCTATTTGATTTACCATTTTCAACCTCTATTTTCATCTGACATGACTTTTGCAGACTTTGATCATGTTCTCTCTCAGCTTCCTTTTATCATGCTTAAGTATCCTTCTTAGTCTTCATCTTTCTTCCCCCCAAAGCCTCTCTATCTCCTAACCATTGACTCTGAGTCACTAAAGATTCCTTCAGCAAGCCAGGTGCAGCGGTGCATGCCTGTAATCCCAGATACTCAGGAGGCTGAGGCAGGTGTTGGGGATGCAAATCAAGTCAAGATGGGGCCTGGCAGCTTGCCAGGAGGAGTGGTTTGTGAAGCAACGCCAGCGAGCCACTAAGATGATGAGGATTCCTTATTGGCTGACTGCTGTATCTAGATGACGCTAATTGAGTCAAGTTGTGTGTAATTAGTTAGGTATATAAAACTCTGCTGTCAGGCAGAGAGGCGGCTCCTGCCATCTCGGGTGCCCGCTACTTTCAGTTCTCGCTCAGTTCCTGCTGAGTTCACTTGCAATAAACTAGTTCCCGCTTCAACCTTCAAGTTGCTTGTCACCTCTCAGTTATTTAGCCCAGCCAGACTGCGGCAGGCAGGAGGATCACAAGTTTGAGGTCAGCCCCAGCAACTTAGTGAGATCTTGTTTCAAAATTAAAAAGGATGGGTAGAGTGTTAGTAGAATGTTCCTGGGTTCAATGCCCAATAACCCCCCCACACACACACACACAATAACAACAAAAATAATAATACTAAGAATCTTTCAAATATCCCCTACCTTCCAAGCAGTAGAAACATGCAGAAGCATGCAGACCCTTGGTGTAACATTCAACAAACAAAAACACATAACAGAGGATGAAATTTACAAAGAAAAACACAAAACTGATCCCCAAACACAGGAGAGGTAAGGGGCACAAATAAATCTGGCACATTTAAAGTAGGCCTAAAGACAACTATGGATASAATTTTGACTTATAAAGGAACTTAATTGATTTCTCACACAGCATACGAAGCTGCCAGTCATTCCTAGATTTCTAGCCTGGGACCACTGTGGATCATTTTTAGCTAATTGAGGTAATCCAATTTCAGGATCATTAGAAAAGCAAACTGGAGTAAGGAGTAAAGATTGTGGATAGAGGAATTTGAAGTTCCCTGAGCCAAAGGGAAGAATGAGGGTTAGGAGGAGGGGAGGGTTCTGTCCTTTTATTATTATTTTGACAGACTCAAAGTTGCTGGAGGGTGTAACTAAGTTGCCCAGGGTGACCTCAAAATTGCAATCCTTCCAACCTCACAAGTAAGGTGTATTGCAGGTATGTGCCACCATGCCAGGCAAGAGGAATGAATTTTTCATTGGGGTGAGATGGAGCAGATGAAAACATACTAACAGTCTATGTTTGTCCACATTCAAAGAAGCAGGGCAATTGGTTTCGTGGAGCAACTGTGTGCCATTACTGTCACCTAGTGGCCATATCTAAGAAGTACACCTCCTAATTTCAACAATCCAAGGAAAATAGAAGGCATGGCYGCACAACCAATCCTTTCTCTAAAGTGCCTTAGATAAAAGTTCATATCTGTACATTTATATCATCACTTAAATGGGCCTCATTTAGCCTTCATAGAAATCACATATGAGAAACTATGTTATTCACATTGTACCCACAAACAAATACTATATTAGAATCTTAAAACTACTACTTTTGGTGTCTTTCGTTTTGGAGAGTCTTTGGATGAGATCATCTTTGGTTGACCTTTTTTTTTCTTAAGTCATTTTGTCAATAAAGCCAGGATGTATCAGTTGTTCTTACGCAACAATCAGGAGCTTAAATGACAAGGAGATATGTCTTACAGACTGATCAATAGTTCACTGAATAATATAAATCATGGTGTCCTGGGAAATGTATCTTGTCATTGGAGATGAAGAGGAGACAGAAGAATCCCTGRACTAGAAGGACAGGGTCTTTCTTGAAGAAAGACAGACAGTCTGGGACCCTGGCAGGCTGGCCCAGGGGAGATGCAGCACCTGTGAGGAGAGGCAGAGGTGCCTGATRCCCCGGTTTATGGCTTTCCAGGCCTATAGTGTGCTTCAGTAAAGTGTGAGAGCACGTGATACAGTCTGAAGCACTACTGCCAACCATCCTGTGTGTTTGGTCACTGCAAGTGGCCCAGAGGTAAAGATGGGCAAAGGGAACATGAGAAAATGGTGAGCGGCAGTTCTGAGGTCTGGAACCAGAGGTGGCACACTCATGCTGGGCTGCATTGGTGGAATTTCTAAAAACCGCTTCTAGCAATTATCAGTAAAAGGGGTCAAATGGACATCTGYGCTAGCAAACAAATCTCAATGTGCCCCGGGGTCTTCTCCCTCTGATGCCAGAAAAGGTGAAGAACTCCATGTACCTTTTGCCTTCTCGTCCTGAAGACTTTTTGCCACATGCATATAATTCAGCCTCTGGAAGATACGTATGGTCTTAGTCACCGCAGGCACCACACCGGCATTTTGAATCAGCAAGTTGGCTAACTCTGTCCTGTTTGCAGTCTGCAGTTTGCTCTTGGCAATCGTGAATTCATCTGGAATAAAGAACTTGAACCTATCCAGTTCCTCATCAGTGATGTTATCCAGGCCCCTCAGTAACAGCATTTCTCTGTATTTGCTCTCCATCTCCCAACTTTGGGGTCAGCCTATAAGAAACCCAAAACACATAAAGTTACACCACCCAAAGTTAAATAAGCAAGGTGAGAGGTTAATATCTCCTCCCCCGGACCCCACCTCTTTCTTTTTCTATTTATTTATTTATTGATGGTATTGGGAATTGGACTTCCAGATTTCTACCACTGAGCTGCATCCCCAGCCCTTTTTATGTTTTATTTTGAGATAGGGTCTCACTGACTTGCTGAGATTGGCCTCAAACTTGCAATCCCTCTGCCTCATCCTCCTCAATCACTGGGATCACGGGTGTGCTCAACCTTACTCAGGGTTAACATCTTTTTAAAGGGAGAGTAAAATGTCTACAGTACAGTAAAGGAGATTTGGATTAAACAAAAATCTTAGCTTATTAAGTGGGCATCTTTGCCCACTACTACTGAGAAAGGACATCTTCAGAGGTGTTACAATGAATCTGTAATTCTTAGAGAACAGGATTCACTCTGCAAATGGAATTGTTGAACATACTGACACACAACACAGTGAATTTATTTCAAGCATACAATGTGAAAATCTTGATGTATGTATGCATACAGTAGCTGAAATCCAATTTATTAATTTGCTCTTTCATGGATCATGCTTTTAGTGTCACGTCCAGGAAGTCTTTTCCAAACAAGATCAGAAGACTTTGTYCTATATTTTCYTCTAGAAATTTTATAGTTTGGCCTTTGGGCACTTATATCTACAACCTCTTTTGAATCATTTTGTATATGGTACAAGGTCTGATTCAAAGTTCATGTTTTTCACATGGATATTAGTTTTTCCATAATTATATTCTTTCTCCACTCATTGACCTTTGTGCCTTTGTCAAAAATCCTTTGTTCAAATATGATTTGGTCCATTTTTAAATTMTTTCCTCCATTCCATTGACTTATTGGGTTTTAGGCCAATACAATATTGTAGTAATATGATTGTCTATGTATGGTATCAAAAATAATACAAAAACTATTAGAAATAAGAATTAGCAATGATTCTAAATATAAGGTTAACATATACAAAAGCCTCATTTCTTTATTTCAGTAATAATCCAAAGGGGAAAACATTGAATAAAATAGTATAATTTCTAATAATAACAAACCTACAAAGTACTTAGAATATGTAATAAAAATATATAATGCTTTAAAGAGCATTATAACTTTAGTGATAGACTTAAAGTACATAATTAATTACGGATATGTATGATATTTTGAATGGAAGAATTCAATAAAATGAAGATAGCGGTTTTGCCAAATTAGTCTATAAACTCCAAGCAAAATCTCAAAGGGCTTTTTCTGGAGAACTTAACAAGATGATCCTAAAATCTACATCAAAGGATAAAGACAAAATTATACAAAATAAGTTTAAAATGTTTATTTGAAGCCACTATTCTTCCTAGCTTACCAATCCTTCACATAAATATATGAGTTTATTATATATGTAATATATTATTATATAATGATATGATAGTGTCACAGAGAAAAATTAACTAATAATAGAGTATGGAAACAGAAATAAAAGCATGGTATCTGATCAAAGTGACATTATACATCACAAGGAAAGGATGTCTGAACACGAAAAGTGTTCAGACACTTAYATATGAGGAATTACAATATTGAATCGTTATCTCACATCGCACACACAATATATATTTCGTGATGCTGTTGAAGAAAACACAAGACTTCTCATCACATTGAGGTAAAGGCATTTCTTAAATAAGGCTTGAAAAGAGCCAGATAAGAAAAGCCTAAAGTCAAATTTGAGTGTGTGCACATTCTAAACCTCTTTGTAGGAAAAACACACACACAGAGTAAATAAAGTGAAAATAAACTGGAAGATACTATCTTCGATGTGTGTAACAGAAGATTTGCTTTCCAAATATATGGAGAATCAYAAAACAATAAGAAAAATATAAATGGTCTATCTGAAAAGTGGGCAAAATATATGAATAAGCAATGTTTGCTCAAATGTCTAATAAACTTTCAAAAAAAGATGTTTGACATTACTAGCAATTAGTAACTTCCAGAGAAGCAACATATGAGGTTCAAGAAATAAGCCAAAGAATGAAAGATGGCATGTTTATTACTAGAAAATAATGGACCATGAATTTCAGAAGCCTGAAGACTCCATCCATAGAGACAATGTTAATAAAGTTATTATGGTTAAAATATCCTTATTAATTTTCCAGTAGGTAAGGACTGGAGAAAACTATTCTTGCACATGTAGAGTTAATAACCAAAACATGTAGAGTTAAAAACCAAAACTATTATCAGCACCATTTTCAAAATACAGTATGCCCCTGAAATACCTGGGAAATCAATCTTCTCAAATGTCCCAGTCTTTCCTTACTCAAGAAAGCARTAAGGAAGATAACTTTGGTTAAATATCCGTAATGTGATAGTCAACTCAGCATGCTTCTTACTTGTCTACATGACATTAATCTTGCTAGAACCCTCTTATAAAATAACATAATCACATTTTAATGAGAAAATTAAGACAGCTATTTCTCTGAAGTTTTATTTTTATCTAATGAATGTAAAATTAGCATTTTACTTCATAACATCTGTCCACTTTTTAAAAGAATTGTTTTGAAGTACTTGTTGGAATACAGATATAGCTCCCAGGTCGAGTGCTTGCCTAACGTGCACATGGCCCTGGGTTTGACCTCCAGCACCACAAAACATGAAAAACAATAAGATATTTGTTATTATGTAAAATTTATACAGAAATCAAATGCATTCAGATCAATTTGGTGACTTTGTGGCCCCCAAAGTCCACCGCACTGTGATTTAAGAAGCACGATACTGCATCATGCATAATAACTGATCACTGGAGAATGTTCTGCCATTTACCAAGTGCTTCCACGTGGAATGTGGATGGTACAAAGGAAAGAAAATATTTAGGGAGTGCCCATTTATCTCTAAAATGGGATAATTTCTACCCCCTAGGTATAAGTACCCAGCATGATATGTCTGAAAAATACATTTTCATTTATTATAATCTCTCAATTATTACAGGCTAAATTAGCTTTTCAAGACGGAATGGCTTACCTGAGGCCCCACAGCTAGTGAATGGCAATAAGATGATGTGAACTCAAATTGTTGAATCCAGACCCTTTGTTCCTTCTTTTGCCAACTGCTTTTTTATTGTTCAGAGAATGTGCAATAACGCTTAAAAAAAAAAAGCTGATGTTATTGGCTGTGTTTTGGAGAGCATCATATATATCTAATCCTCTTATAATTCCAATAATAATATCATAATAACTGGCAATCATTTTCTTAGCCTAAACGACTTATCCCTTTTCCACAAGATGGTGGCTAAGACCCTCCAATGGTCCTCTCCCCACAGAAACACCAATTTGAACAGCTGTTCACACACCAAACTGACTTCTCATTAGCTAAAGAAGCCGGGTGAGACACCCGAGTGCCTGGTTTTAGTACAACAGGAAGAAAAGGCACATTGAAGGGCAGGTACTCACAGACAAAGCTTCTAGAGCTGCCAGACATCACCCAGCAACCTACACGCTGCTGAAAGAACACAAGTTTGGCCTACATCATTACCAGCCTCAGTGTGGGCCTAGGTACACCCTTGTCCTCCTGAGACTGCATAAGTCCCTGTGGCTGTGAGGTCCTGATGTGACCCAGTCTAATACCACCCTTCATGGTCACGGGGCTGTTTCCACCACCTGTCCCCCAAACTTGGGTAACACAGGTCAGCGCTCATACATGGAGCCTCTAGACCTGCTCTGGGATTAGGCAGAGACTTATGTCCCAGGGGGATGGGCTGGTGCTTTGGCCTGTGTCCCTGACAGCTGTGCTGTAAGGCTTAAGACTGAGCAGGTCCTTGTGGCTGTGAGATTCAGGTGTGACCCAGGTTGGTGTCAGCCTTGGTGGCCAAATTGCTGYACCTTCACCAGCCTGATTCCTCCTCAGAACAACGTGGAGTAATGTCAGGAGCTGTGAATACATTACAGGATTCTTTAAGCCATCCCAAGACAGAGACGATGCCCTTCTGAGAACTCTCGGTGGAAATGCACCAATGGAGAATGCTCAGTGGCTGGTGACACCTTGTTCAAAGGGGGTTCAGTGGCTCACAGAATTTATTGGTTCAAACAGTCCTGGGATCAAACACCAGCTGCCGGGAGGTAGTAAAGATCTAAGTGCAAGCTGATAAGCCATTTCTTTTTTTTTTTTTTACTTTTATTAGGTATTCCAAATTTTCAGGATTTTTTAAAATGAGGTATAGATGACAGCAGAATGCATTTTGATTCTGATAAGCTCTTAACTGAGCTGTTCCTGCTCATGACTTTGTTTATCTTGAAGACGCTTTCTCACAGTCAATCCATTGCTGTGGGTATCTACGTGACTGCATGACCAATGTGATTCTGCAACCTGTACACTCAGAAAAACGAGAAATCATATCCCATCTGATTCAAATGTATGATATGTCAAGGTCATTGTACTGTCATGTGTAACTAATTAAAACAAATAGAAATTAAAAAACCAAAAACCGGTATAATAAACGTGCTGAGCCCGCAATGGGGTCAGCCAAGCCTCATCAGGGCTTGGCTTTCCCACCGGGTCCCACGGGTCCCACTTTCCTGTATCTGTGGGTTTGTTTGTTTTTATTTCTAATCCTCTCACCTGTCCTCCTTTGGGAAACTGAGGACACGTTGCTCAGGGGGTGACAGAGTAGGACGCCGTTCAGTGAGGGCAGGACCAGGTGACAAGTTCTAAGTTCGCCTTGGAACTCAGTGACGGGCTAGAGAAACGGGCAGGTCCTAATGGCTGCCAAGCCCAGATCAGCACCTGCAAATGGCGCCTCTGGAACAGCCCTGCTAGAGGGCAGAAATAGTGTCTCTCACAACTATATTCCACTTAGCAGTCTTGGGCCCCAAGAACACAAGGAAACCTATATCAATATGGGTCTTCTTCCTTCCCAGTCCTGCATGGTCTCTGTGGGCTGTGATCTCAGGGTAGGACACAGTTCAGGGGCACT